CCCCAAAGGATTCAGTTTTTTCTCACACAGAAAACCTTAAGCTTTCTAACCTTAATTAGAAATCGGGAGGTGTGTATGCATAATGCAACACTGCACACATGTGGAGGGCCCTAATTATGTCATTGTGACAAATTTGTCGTGTTCATAAAATAGATGTTTTATATACCGTGTATCTGTCGAAATTATAATCAATGTTGGGAATTTGAACCTTATTTGAAAATATTTATATGTACCATGGTATGGTGATCATTGGCTGTTTCGGGACTTTGGGCTTTATGGTAATGCAGTCAAAAGAGACCTACTATACACAGCTATCATAACCTCAATATGAAATCATACTTGATATATCACGACATTACATCGTATCATATTCTTTAATTAGGCAAAAAATAAATAGTAATATGAATTTTTTCCTTACACAAAATTAGTTAATTTCAATTTTTACACGCTGCTTTGTGGGATCAGTGCTCTGAAACAAAGACTGTTCTCTCATCCGTGGAAGTTCTTAGCATACAGACTGCACTGTGTGTACGCCACAAACTAATATTTTGATTACGAATTGTAGAAAATAAATATTAACTACCTCCATGGAGTAGAGCCCTTCGTGAGAATCTAACAATTGTTAAACAAGCAAGGAATTCCCCGACTTTTATGGAGCCCGAGGTTTCATTACGGTGTTCAGAAGACCTCGCCACCTTAGGTAAATACCAGCACTGTAAGAACATACCGTCTCCATCTTTAGTGCCACCTCTGTCCCATTTGACCTCCCGTATTCTCACAAACTGTAATTCCGGAGATAGGGATTAGCTCTATCTAGTGGGCCCAACTGTGTAGGAACCTGAAGACGGAGATAGAGTCCCATCTCCGAAACGTCGTTTTACGTTTTATATTTTACTAGACGATGGATAATATCCAAGGAAATTTTTATTCAATTGACTCTTCACCATCGTCAAGAAGTTTTAGATTTGATATTTTCAAACGTGTGTAAAGTTTCTCACAACTCGTTTTCTGTGTGGGTCTTCCAAGTAGCAAGGTCGTCAGTTCGCCAAGGAGGTAAGTCTCACGTTTGCCATGTTTCAATCTTAACACTACGTACATTACACTGCAGAGTTTGAATTCATTCGCCGCTTCTGTTCTAATCGCGACTGTACTTACCCGAATTGGCACAGAGGAGGAAAAGAAGTACACTGAGGTACATCCTGATGGTCAGAGGCCTCCTCACTGTACACCCGAACTGCATGCGCTGTGATTCACGACTGACGAGCTTCTAGCAGTTTTCTCCTCTTTCGACGTCAAATTCAGAGTACTTTCTTTTCGACTCATATAGAGCAACGCTCGTATCGAATCTGTTTCACGTATTCACCTTCCCTTCATCCATGGTTCAGGGCTTTTATTCAGCGAGAAGTCGATGAAAATTATATGATCAACCCTCAGGAATGAGATAGAGAAATAACAAGGAGAGCAGTGAGAGACATTTAGCGGGGGAAACATAAATTTTCGGCTGAGAAGGTTCCCAGACAGTGCCCGCTCGTCTTTATGGGAAAGATAGTTTGAAGGGAAGTGATGAGAAATGTTTAGCAGGGTCTTACTGCTTTCGATCGGAAATTTTAACTGTGACATCAATCTTGGGAGGGGTAGAATGCTGATATTAATATTGGAAGGGATACTACGTACGAGGCATCCAGTGGAACGTGGGAAGCTCATTGAAATAATATTAAAATAGCAGTTCCCACCTCAAAGATACACAACCCAACTCCATTGCACATTCTGTGGCACAACGTCTGCACTAATTTTCGAGAATTTCCGTCCAACCATTTTCTAGTTCATAAAGTCTACAGGCGGATATGATTATACAGCGATACACCATTGTCATGAAATCGGTGCACATTTATCCATAGGCCCTATGAATAAATCCTATCCGAGCTTCCAAATCCCCCCCTCCCAAAAAAGAAAAAAAGAAAATAGCCTGCTGGCGTGATTTTCTTGTTAACACATTGGCAGCACACACCCCAGTAGGAGGAACTTTTTGTAAGCATTGCACTTGAAAGAGGGAGAAAATGCTTCGTGATGAGGCACATTAAGGTTGAAAAATTTCAACCAAAAGCCAGACAGAACTAAGAATTCGGGGGCAAATTGGGAGCTATAATAATACTTTTGCTTTCCAATTTTCTTTTCTTCGTGTTTCGAAATTCATACAGTTACCCAATATGATCATCACGGTAGCCAGGTGAAAAGTTGAGGTTAGAATAAATTCATAAAATGTGTTCTGTGAAGTTTAATCATATCATCTTACTTTCGAAATCTGTCTACTGACTTTTAGTTACCGCTGCCAGCGCTTCGTTGGAGTAACATGGGTTACCAACATACTTTTGAATCGATGTCTTGACAGGTCTTACCATTATGTATTTACGTAATGGGAAATGCTGAATATTTTGTTGCTCAGAAGCGTGTATCGTGGATTTGTAAATTGCTGACATTCTGATTTAAATGTTGGTTTGCATTTGTTAATATTGATTTTGTACTTTGTGAATTGACATTTGTTCGCTATACTGTGCTTGTTCGTAGTACAGCTGGGTAGTCGAAGTGTAATTATATTTATCCATACGATATCGTTTTCTGGCGATTTTTTTTTGCAGATGAGTTTTTTAGTTATTGCTATGTGTATTTAGCAGTAATATCCTGACTGCTACGTTTGTGATTATTATTAACATGTTGTCTGTTAATTTAGGAGTCCAAAATAATACAGAGCATGTAGGTAATTTACATAAACTAATTGCATGCTGTGTTGAAGTCTTTGTTCATTTTGATATGAATAACAGATACTAGACAGAATGTGCAACATATCTCTCGTAGTTTGATAAATGAGTAATGCTAAAGTTTAATTTATGCCCAAATACTTCTCCATGAAGCGATAGAAACATGAGACAGCTACCTCATACATCAGTTTGCTGACAGTTCCATCCACTTGTAAGAATTTCAGAATAGTAGATATTAACATGCAAAATTTTGGATCAAGAAAACTATTAAACAGTGATGCCTTCATACAAAGAGTGGATTTCATGTTGAGTACATGCAAAATAATTACCAAATCATAAGACCACTTCTGCTGTGTAACTTAGAGTTCTTACTGTCCATGTCTGGCATCTGTTTGTGAGGTAAATAATTTGTATGTTCCTTGGGAAGTGATTGTCCTAATTCCTCAGCTTTTCTAGGCAAGTGCCAGCAGAACAATGAAATAGGCAAACAAATATTCCTTTTTCTCCACTTTGCATATTCACCATGGGTAATCATACTGTCATATCAAGGAATAAAAAAGTCTTTAGCAGTTTATAGATTATTGTTAGATAACATGAGTAAATTATTGCCTAATGACTATTTCTTTATCATTTGTTTTGGTGATAAAAATGTAAAATGATCTCTAATCACAGTGTTATGTTTCCCACTATCTTCTGTATGAAATTTTGTTGTTTGTTAGATGTGAATGTGTTGATCAACACACAAGATGGGGTCAATATTTTCAAACACAGTAGTAGAGAATCTGAAGAAGCACCAAGATTTTATGACTGAAATGAATAAAATCACGGTAAGTAATATGAGGTATATTTATTTCCCTCACTTTGTAACATTGTATGGTGAATTCATCAGTTTCAATTCCCTTATTACGAATATGTACTCACGATGTAAATTCAAAGCCCTCCATGAATATTAAATTATGTTTCACTAACTGACTGCAAGCAGTTTTCGTGTTTTAATTAGTGCGGCTTTTCCTACAGGTGGAACGCCAGATTCAAATGCAGAATCAGATGCGTGAAAGGTTGATGGCGATGCAGGTAGCTCGAGCCAGGGAGCTCTTGTATTGGTTTGGCTCATTTTATGTTGTGGCTGCTGCGGGGATGATGGCTGGGTTCGTACCAATTAAATATTTTTTTTTATCAGACGCAGGATGTTGCCACTGCCATCATTGAGCTTTTTCACTACATCTACTTGTACTTCTTCCCTTGCTGAGAGTTCCTGAGAAAATCATATACTACCTTCATTTGTTTATATACATCTAGTTATGTAGTTATGTGATGTCTTGTTCATGAGCCAGATTAGCTTAAATTCCCAAGATATGGTGGAAGAAGTTTTTTCTTCATCACGTATAAACATTAAAATGTACTGTTGGTTTTATGAAGTTTTTTTGCAATCCTTTGTCAGCTGAGAGATTGCTAATGGTAAATGATTTTTCTTTTTAAGGTTTCGGCGTACAAGAAAGCCTGGAGTTTTGGTTCCTTTGCTTCCTCTGTCATTTATTGCAGCATATCAGGCAGATATGGCATATGGAAACAAATTGCACAGAATTAGATGTAAGTACATTTTATTTTGCTCTGTTTGTGTGTAGTTTGCAGGATTACAACATAATGACAAGACAACATTAAAACACATGATTTGTTAAGTCAAAAATTAAAGTTGTCTAAGTAAGATAATATATGTTTTCTTTTATGAAACCTTTTATTTGGAATGAATAGATTAAAGGACATTTCAGCATGTTGCTGTGCTTACGCGGACAATACTTATGTTAGCGCTTTCATAGTACATGTATAATACCATACAGTGTTTGTCAGCTGGGAACATTCAGAATGCAAAGGTGCAAAGAACATGTGGGAACTGTGAATTCTGGTTTGGATTTGCCTTTCCAGTCTTGTTACATTTTACCATGCTTAAGCTATGGAGTGTCCTCAGTTTCACAATACAGGAGTGATGGAAAATGTTGGTGACTGTCTTCTGGGTTGTAGTGCTTTGTAGTGTAGTAGAAGATTAACAACGTTTCAGAAGTCCACGCTGCCTCCATCATCAGGGCGATGACTCCAACTTCTACCAGACTACACAGTGCTACGACCCATAAGACAGGTATCCTCAGACTGAATGCCATGGAAACTTCATATCCTACTTATGAAAAATGTTATGTGAACTCAGAGAAGTGTATCCACAAGTTAATAAATTATCAGAATAAGGCTTTTGACTTCAGATAGCAGATATTCAGCAAGATTTGTTATTTGTATTATGAATTTTTGTATTTATCTACAGCGGAAGCTGAAAACATAATGCAGTTTGAAATGGACTTACTAGAGTTACCATGTGGATTGCCATCTGCCTCATCTATTGATCAAGCGAGACTTGATAATGATGAAAAGAAGAAACTTCACCCATCGGTGCCTCCTATATAAGCTGGACTTTTAATATAGAATGTATAGAAAATGTTTATAGATTGGTGTTGCATAGTGTTTGTCATTTATACATTTCAATGTTTTGAGGCAGATGTGTTTCAATCATAATACTTCATAACAAAGATCAGATCAATGTTGTTGGATTATGTACAGTGTGTCCACAAAGTCCCTTCGGGGTTTTGAAAAATTGTGGTGCGCAAACAAATTGAGCTAGCCACATGCGGTTTGCGGCAGGTTACAGTGAAACTCTGGAAGTTTTTTACTGACCTCAGTAGACCTCGATGTGGGTTCCCTTGGTAGCACGGAGAACGTCCAGACGATATTCGAGCTCTTGCCGCGTTCTGTGGAGCACGTCCGCTGGAATAGCCGAGATCGCGTTCCCGATACGGGTCTTCAGGTCATCAAGTCCGTTAACTGGTGTTCGGAACACATCTCTCTTGACATAATGTGTGGCTGTAAGTGCTCAATTTGTGGTACTGCGTACAGTTCCAGCATGTCCAGGTAGGTGTTCATGTTTCCACATTGAGGTCAGTAAAAAACTTCCCGAGTTTCACTGTAATCTGCTGCAAACCGCATGTGGCTAGCTCAATTTGTTTGCGTGCCACAATTTTTCAAAACCCCGAAGGGACTTTGTGGACAGACTGTACATTACTCTGACTTGGAACAGATGTTATGACCCTTCTGAAAACTTGTAATTTTTTAGAATTAATTTGTCTCTGGTGCTGTGTCTTATGTAATTCTGTATGTACATTTTAAATAGGGAAATCAGTTTAAACAAAGTGTTATGATTCATTCAATATGCATTCTGAAATCATTTTTAAGACTTTATAAGATGTATAATAAGTAGTACATAAAATTTATGGCAGGAAAAAAGTAATGACTTATGACAGCAGTCAGCAACACACTGGCATAACAACACTTCAGAGGTCATTGCTGCCTCTATGAGACAGCCGTCTTTATACTCACCACCATAAGAACTTCAAATCCTAGATAGCAGAAATGTTTTTAATTAAAATGTTGGCACTTTAAACATGGGATTAATTTAAAGTATACTGACATACAGTGACAGCTCATCAAATACAGATTGTAATATATTTGTTAGTAGTCAATTATAAGGATGATGATGAAGGTGGCTGTATAGAACCAAAATGTGTTTGCTGCAGTAGGAGATTTAAGTAAATTAACTATCGATGGAATTAATTGCAGTATCATATAAATTTGCCATTATGTGATTGCCTAAAAGTAAATAAAATAGAAGAACCATATGTGTATTAAAATTGTAAATATTTGTGTAAATTTGCTCTCTGTGATCTCACAACTATTTATGAAACACTTAAAAATAACTGCATGAGTTGGGGGAAGTAATAAGTCAATTGAACGTTACAACACCGTGTCTTTAACATGTTCGCTCCCCTGTCCATGTATCATCTTTAGTGGTGATTTGTTCAGGCTTCCGTATTTGACCTTGGTCAGATAGCAATATCCTGTTAGAAGACAAAAAAGTCATAAGAGTGCTCTTTGAGCTCAGAATTATTTCTTTTGTCGCTAGATGGAACATGGAAGTACCTTTTGAAACTTGTTGAATGTGAGAGTGTCATTCATTTCTTTACCATGTAACACTGCAAAATATAAAATGTCTGTGTACAACTAAAAATTGCTGGGCTGATAAGAAAGCCAGCAACAGAGTGCCTGGGAGTGAACGTGTTAAGTAGTCATTAGAAATCTTTTTCTTAGACACTGAAGTTCCAAGTTATGTCTGTGCTGTTACTTTCTTGGGCCAAAATCTTAGGATTTTACGATTGACCTTTCACTTGAAAATGTTGCATTTAACCTAAGACTGTCACTGGTATTTTTTGGTTGAAGAGTTGGTCACAATGTCAATTCATTAGAAATAGATCTCTTAATTTTACATGTTTTTAGTTAATATTCTTCTGTGGGAATATACTGTGTGTATGTGTATACTGCTTGGAGACTATTCTCAACTTTCTTCAGTTACTACAAAATACAATGAAATTTGTAGAATTTGAAGATTGGTATGAAGACTTTTCAGCTACAAGTTCCTCGTACAACAATGTCTGTTACATCAAATTGAATGCACTGGATAAATAAAAGAAGACCTTTGTATAAGTAACATGTTATCAAGTATTTCTACATAAATGGGCATTGAACAATTAAATACAATATAATGGAGTAAGATAAGAGTGTTTGTAATAACTTCTTTACCTAACATGTTTACTACGTTATATAACTCTTTGAGATGTAAGTTTTATTGAAGACTTTTGGGGTTAAACAATATCGTATCCTGACAAATAATATATCCCAAGATGTTTTACTGTTGCATATGAACTTTTAAGTAGAAAACATACCATGATATTATATATAACATATACATGTATAAAATACCATAATAATATAAAAATATATGTGTCTTCTTATTAATAACCCAACATATTTTACCCTTGTAGGTTATCTTCAAGGGCATATCTCAACATTTATTATCCAGGAACAGGGGATTAAAACCCCTGTATTGCCATCCAGATTTTAACTCTGGGATTTAACAGCAATATTAACTGCTCTGCATGCCCTCTTCAACTACAAAAAATCCATAATGTATGAGTGATAAAGGTAATTTTTTTAAAAAATTTATGCTGTGAAAGTTTTTCAAAAACTTGTTTTACATTTATTACGTTTACGTTTAGATATCTGTATAGTAATTATGAATATCAAAAATAAATCATGTTCCATTTCAAGATATTTGCCTGGAGAGCACAGGAAAATTATAAAGATGAATTGCTGTTTGCCTGATTAAAACTTAAATCAAGTGTCCCTAAAGTTCAAGTCTTAATAGTGTAACTGAAAGGTACATTATTTAATATTTTGTTTTCCAGCCCTTTGTTAGTAGACAGCTAACAATTATTTCAATTCTCTTGTACCCATATAATAAAATTAGTGTTCCTATGTTATTCTGTCTTGTGATTGTTTAATTCAAAGTATTTCTTGCTGGTACCTAATTAGCAGAATTCAAGTCTGACAGATTTATCCCGCTTACAGCACCTATTGATGTTTCAGGAACTGATCCAGTACCATTCTTTTAAAGTTTATTGTGAGTCACATCAGTACAAAATTACTTACAAACTGAGAGGTAATTTATTATAAACACATCTAAAATTAAAGCTTATCAAGAGACACCTAATGATAAAACTAATGACAGAAACTAATTGATAATAATTGGAGACTGGAATCTGTCTGGTTTATTGATATTGTCAGTGATTACAAGTTTGTGATATCACAAAAGGTCCACAATTCCGTTTTAATTAGTTTATCAGAGTACTGATCCTTGGGAATTAGTCATCACAAAAACATCTATAATCTTTATACTTGCTAGTTTGGTGTTTACTTTTGAGACTCTGGAAATGTTCTTGACCACTTGTTTAGAGGAAATGTAAATTCAGGATAACAGTTATCGTTAATTATAAAAAAAATGCCTTTCTCAAATAACATCATAAATATATAACAGTTATCGTTAATTATAAAAAAATGCCTTCCTCAAATAACATCATAAATAAGTTATTTAAATGTTTTATTTTTATGTAATATCTTCAGTATTTTAAAATTAGATTTTTATGTCTTGAAATATACATGTGAAAATGATGTCTTTAATGTAACAAGTATTTTTGTCATTTTAATCATTATTCTTTAGTTGCTGGTGTAGCCAGTGTTCTTTGTAATATCTTATATCACTCTGACATAACTTATAACAGTTGAAAAATAAATTATTAGTAATGTTGTGCTTTTATCCATGTATCTATAATGTTTCTGTGTTTGAAATTTTAAATTCATTACCTGCTTTATGATTTAAGTACGTTTTTCATGGCTGTGTATTATTTATGCAAAACATTTTTAACAGAAATTGTAGTCTGAAAACATCCATACTATATGGTTTGAATCTGGAGAGCTTGAAATTTAATGTTGATATTTTATGTCTATGATGGAATGGGATTGACACATTCATTAGTAAATTGAGTTACGTGGTAATTTGTGAATGAAGATAGTCCATGCCACAGATGTAGGTGATCCATAGTATATAGCTTTCGCTCATTTGTGGTGAAAAAGAATGTTCTTCAATCATTCTTATAATGTTGGCCCCTACCCTATCAACCATTCTGGTATTCATTTTGATTGATAGAATACAGACTAATATAAGAAAATATAGAAGTTATAATTTTTGTCATGTTCATTACCCCACTATACCATTTTGGGAGGTCCAAAATGTATTTTTATCACATTTTTATGTAATCTTCCAACACAGCATAAAAACGTTTAATCTCCTCAAGGACACCAGGTTATGTATTAGCAATGCTTACATCGCTTGCAAACAGATGGCAGAATACGTACCTTCTCCTAGTGCCATCTTACAGTAATTTCTTTTCGACATCTAAATGAAAAGTCTCTTTTTACGACAACTTGTGGGAAATATTATTTTGAAATGTTTCGCTGTGTATTTACCGGGTGTAGATGAGAAGCAAAGTTGTGGGTATTTGTGGAAGATGTCTTTAAATAGTTTATTTAACAATAACAGACTGTTAAAGGAAACATTGCACGAGAAAGACGAAGGAAAAGGTATGATAAAGTTATTTATTAGCATGCTTATATTTATCAGAAGTATTACCATTAGATTGCAGAAGTCTTGATTTGAACTAACCTGTTTGTGGATAATTGTCAACTAATGGGAATTTTAACATTTATTAGGGCATCCCAACTCCGCAATTGCCTCCAGATCCGGAATTTTCTGATGTTATGCTCTGAAATAAAAACAGGAGCACATACGCCTGTAGTTTAAACGGAATTAAATCATAAGTAAATAAATTTGCAAGAATAGAATCGTTCGTATTTACAATTAGGTAGAGTAACCGTTTGTCATGAGGTTCCAATGGTTTGTGTTCGGGATGATAATCTTCAGTTAATGCCAAATTAATTGATAGCTTTCGAGAGGGATAAGTAAGTTAGAATAACAAGCTTGCGTCGTAAAATGGTTTTATTAGGCACTGAATCTCGAAGTAAAGCAACATATATATATATATATTTGGTCACCATACAGTGATGTTCCGAAACAAGAATATGTCGGCAGGCAAAGGGGTATGAGTTCAAAAATTACAACTCCAATACGATTGCAGTTTCATGTCAAAATTGTATATTTAGATCTGATTTGTGAAACCTTTGCCGAAAAATATTCTTTGATTACTGAAAATTTGTCTTTTAGAATTCACATCCTTTTCTCATTGGATCGGCGAAGTGGCCTGAACCGTAAGAAAATACAAATAATATTATATTTCCAATCTTGATAATCAGTAAGTTTTAGGCCCTGCGATAAAAACCTTTCCGTGTTAATGACTTTATAAAATATAATAAGTTTAAAGCGTTAATAAAGTAATTTTCAAGTAGCCTTGATACGCGTGCTACTGTCAATATCTGACTTATGAGGTATTTATTTAACGACGTTTTCAGTAGCTGAGACTATATAGCGTCGAGGCTTATGAGTTATGTGAGAGGTTAGTGAAACGGTGTTAAATACGGAATGCTGACAGCTCTGTTGAAACGCTAGCCGGCCTTGGGTTTATATTTTAAGAAAGTCTTTAGGGTGAACCATTGTTACTTTTATTGTGGAACCACGGTTCCGGAGAATTTGACGTAAATACGTCTATACGGAAAGGAAGTTTATATATTGGCTTTATTCTAAATATTTCCTTTATACATGCTTTACAATTGAGATAAGTTTGATTAAGACATTGCTTATTCAACTTGAATTAGTTACGCTTAAGATGGGTCTATGGTAGATGAATGTAAGGTAAGGTTGATGGCTGTAATGTAACACAACAATGCCGAGTAAACAGATGACGTTTCCTAGGTAACATAACAATGAAGTTACACTTTTTTGTTTCCATTTTTCGTAACACATTTTTGCCGAATGACCCTTCCTCATAGACGTATTTACGTAAAAATATGATTCAGGAAACATGTTTTGTCGTGATGACAAGGATACTAGATATCTTCTTGTTCATATGTTACTCTAATCATATTCGCATATTTTTCTAACTGTCTGGTGGAGATTAAAATTTTTACTTGGATGAACAGTCACGTAGGTCTATTTGTTTTAAAGCCTGTATATTTGGTCTGACAGTAAGATTAACCATTTGTTCGTAACAGTGTGTACTAACGTAGAGAGTAAATCTCATCTTTTATTCTGCAGTCATGTTTATAATGGACTTTTTCCTTGGTGAGTAGATTGACAGTGGTGAAGTCAATAAACCACTTATGGTTTTATTATTAGTAGTCCCACCCCTTCTTCCTATTTTCAGCGTAGAATTTAAAAAGAAACCGCCACTAATGTTTACAGAGTGCCGAGTCGAGCGTATTTGCATTTTACAACAACGCAATACATGCTAATGAAGCGAGAACTTTATAGAAAACTCTGCTTTTACCATGTTGATGGAACACGTTTTGCTCACAGGTTAACGGATTAATTTTAGACATTAATTATATACTGTTTTTATTTTAAAACATGGGCCCATGAAATATATATTACTATGTATATATGTTGGCAAGCATGTATGTATGGAAGCCAAGAGTTTCGTGCGTTAGTTCCCTCCCACGAGATTTTGTCGTCAATATAGACAGTGTCTCCGTTAACACCAATATTTGTGGAGCTTAAGGCACAGGAATCATGTGATTGGTGGTAAAATAGAAGATCATTTTACAATAAGAGTCACCTCGTCTTAAGATACCGATAATTAGCCCGCTCGCAAGGTCTGCAACGCGCCTGACGTCACGGTCGCCTAGGCAACAGGCAGTGTCGGGACCGGGTCGGTAGGTGGCTCTGCTGGGCACGAGTGGAGGAACCTCGCGGGTAAAAATCAATTTAGTTGGCTGAGCGCGAGCTTCACGGAGGGTGGTATTTTGCAAAATGGCCGTGTGACCGAAATAGCCTTCGCCAGCTACCAGGTCCGGAGCAGTGTGGCAGTGACAATGGACATGGACCGAGTGGTGTCGTTTGTGGCGCGCGGGACCCGGTGAGCTACCCAATCCCTGTCTCCTAGTGCCCCGAGAAGAACATTCCACCACACAGCATGGCCTCGGTCGCCGCTTGGCTGCCCTTCGCTCGGGCGGCGGCCATTGGTTGGGTTCCCATCGCCACCCACCCACTGCCACCACCCCCCATTTCCAAAGACCGCCGGAAAGCCGACGACGAGAAACTCCTTATTAACGTTTCGGGACGGCGTTTCGAAACGTGGCGAAATACCCTCGAAAAATACCCAGATACTCTGCTAGGATCCAACGAAAGGGAGTTCTTCTATGACGAAGAGTGTAAGGAGTATTTCTTCGATCGTGACCCTGATATCTTTCGTCATATTCTCAACTATTATCGCACGGGGAAACTCCACTACCCAAAACACGAGTGCTTGACAAGTTATGACGAAGAGTTGGCATTTTTCGGGATCCTTCCTGACGTAATCGGCGACTGTTGTTATGAAGACTACAGAGACAGGAAGCGAGAGAATGCGGAGCGACTCATGGACGACAAGCTATCGGAGAACGGTGACCAGAACCTACAGCAGCTCACTAACATCCGCCAGAAGATGTGGAGAGCCTTCGAGAACCCGCACACATCGACGGCGGCCCTCGTATTCTACTACGTGACGGGATTCTTCATCGCTGTGTCCGTGATGGCGAACGTGGTAGAGACTGTTCCCTGCGGACATCGGCCGGGTAGGGCAGGCACCCTGCCTTGTGGCGAGCGCTACAAGATCGTGTTCTTTTGCCTCGACACGGCTTGCGTCATGATCTTCACGGCGGAGTATTTGCTCCGGCTATTCGCAGCCCCGGATCGCTGCAAATTTGTCCGCAGTGTGATGAGCATAATCGATGTGGTGGCCATCTTGCCGTATTACATAGGGCTCGGGATCACCGACAATGACGACGTATCTGGCGCTTTCGTGACCCTCAGGGTGTTCCGGGTGTTCCGCATCTTCAAGTTCTCGAGGCATTCTCAGGGTCTAAGGATCCTGGGCTACACCCTCAAGTCCTGCGCCTCCGAGCTCGGCTTCCTCGTTTTCTCCCTCGCCATGGCCATCATCATCTTCGCTACCGTCATGTTCTACGCCGAGAAGAACGTTGACGAGACCAACTTCACTTCCATTCCAGCTGCATTCTGGTACACCATAGTGACAATGACGACTTTGGGGTAAGTCGTGCATTCCATGTTGCCACGAGGCCTCTGGATGATTGCCAAGTAATGGCCTGCGTCTGATGGTGCAGTTCTGGCCGGGTGGAGTGTTTTCTAGCAAGATACGTTTTCCAAAGGGGAAGTTCCGTGGTGATACTTGCGAAAAGCACGATGCTACCTTCATTTGTTATGTTGGTATGAGTAGGAAGAAACCAGTAACATAACAAATGAAGGTAGCACGATGCTACCTTCATTTGTTATGTTACTGGTTTCTTTCCGCTCATACTAACGTATGTTATGAAACAAATGAGCGTGGCAGAGCACCGTGATTTATTCGAGCATGATTACCACGGTGTAATATGCTTTGAATTAAAAAATAACAAACAGCGATATAATGTGTAAACTATGGAAGAAATATAGGCAATTTTGACAACGAGTTTACGGTACCTGTCAGGTAAATACTGTGATATTGTAATAAGTGTGTTGTAGCTCGGGCGGTTAGTCGACAGCTTTTTACCGCGCAAGCCTGAGTTCGATCCCAGGAAAGTCCATGTAGATTTTGTGGTGGAAAGAGCGCTTTGATATTATTCACTCGTGCGTGATTGAAGGGCTGGGGTTTCGTTATTGTTGGGATGGGATGAAACTGCACCTCTATGGATCTCACGTGTTAGGTAGATCCTAGATGTTTGTTACCGGGCTAACAGAAAGCAGAATTGAGAGTTTGTGTGCGTCATGACGAAGCAAACATTCCACTAGGCCAGAAATGTACTTTTTTACGTGACACATTTTTGATCTCTCTTATATTTTATTTGTATATATGATCAGAACAGTCGACATTTATGACAGTTTTGTACATTTGTTTGTTTGTATGTTTGTTAGCTGCTTGTCTGAGTTAATGTTGCTAGAACCACACAGCATTTAACTTATAATTTACGAGAGAATTAAGTTATTTTATGCATTATTAGGAAAATTGTATTTACAAAAGCAGTGAACCTACGTTATTTGTTTCAGAGTTTAATCAATGGCGTATTAAAATCTCTAATATTAGGTATAAGCTGGGGCTGACATAACCAACATAAATACGTGTCCAAATAACAGTAATATGTATATAATTATCGGTACAACTGGAAACTTAATCGCAGTCATTTCAAAGGTCCCTACGAAAGACGGTCTGGGGATTGAGAAACATTTTAACGCAATACTTCATTAATTTGCATTGTTTTCTTCCATAAGTTACCATGTAATGAACGTATTTGAGAAGTAAACGTCACTTATTATTCATTATATCGTCTTTATGGTCGTTTAAGCCAATTATTTATTTAGTTTAATTTCTCGCCCCCCTGAATGCGATATCATACATTTCGCAGTTTTATTAAATGAATGTCTGTAGAACAAATAACTTTATTCATTTCTGCTTCAGGGTTCTGCAGGCTTACGTATTTTCCTTGGGATTTTTGGTTTAGCAAATTGAATTTGAAGTACCTTGCTTCTGTTTATCAAAACTCTGTGACGAATATAAATGTGGGACTTTTAATTAACTGGATAAGTGTTAACAAACCGGCGTTTTTTTTATTAATAGTTGCTGAATCAACTGTTTTTGTTTGAGGTTTTATTGCACGTGTACAGAAAACAACTACTTTGTTATTATTTGACTTCTAAACAGAAATTTTGTGGGGGAAAAATATAACATGAGCAGTATCAGGGGTTTTAATCACGAATCGCCATTCTTCATTACCAGAAAAGCTGTTCCAAGTGTTTTTTTTATCGTGGCTGAAAATATATTAAATCACTTAGTATACATCGATACGTTAACGCGAATTTATCTGACTTAGATGAACCGAATCGATTTGTTGTAGAACTCGAAATCCTGCTCCGTTATTAGATTTTATTTTCTGGTAAGGTTCACAGTGCGAGAATGTTTTAACGACTTGTACCAAAAATTAACCGATGGACTGACTGTTATATAAGAATTTAGTCCAGTATTATGACAGAAAAAAGATTTTTAAGAGAATTTTCGAACAAAGACTAATGAAAACGGCTGAAAATAAATTTTTGAAATAGCAACAAAACATAGTATCAAAAATTTTATCAGTCCTTCGTATTTGGTGGATTCCGGGTTCAAATCTGGGTCTCGGGACCGGCTAAGTCTACGCCGCTCCATGAGATCAACGTCGACATCTTCACAGCGGTGAGAAATTCAAATCTCATACTTTAATTGAGGTTTTCAGAGTTTTCGTCAGTCCCTCCGGACAAGTTCCGCTTCCTTTCCAAATTTATGCCTTTCTGTCATCCTAACATTCATTGCAGTATATTATGAGACATGGCGTCTTTAAATAAAAGACGAACGGTGATGATAATTATAATAGATTATACGACCTTTCCATTAAAATATGAGTTATTTAAGCACGTAATGCCGTTTTTAGTGAAAATCTGCTCGAAATTAAACTCAAAGAAACTATCCAACTGTAAGATAGTGTAGTTGCGTCATATTGTGATTTATTAAATTAAAATTAAAATATTTGGTTATTCCGTCAAATCACAATGTATTTAAAATAAGATAATTAAAATAATTAAAATATCATTCTGTGTTCCATATCGAATAATAGATTTACAATTGGAACAGTTACAACATGTTTCGGTTTTATTAAACCATCGTCAGGTGTAAAATTATATTAAATTTAAAACTCAATTACAATTTTATTCAGTAATAAACCTTGATCGGATACGGTAATACTTCTGGATCACCTCCAGACACAACTGTGTTGTCTACTATTTCATCTCTGACCGATGTAAACATCAAAAGCATCACTTCAAACAATAAAGTTGATCCATTATATGAAAATATCTGGACACGACCTCCAAAAAACTACACTACGAAAAATTGTAAAAAATTGTAATTGAGTTTTAAATTTAATATAATTTTACTCCTGATGATGGTTTAATAAAACCGAAACATGTTGTAACTGTTCCAATTGTAAATCGATTATTCGATATGGAACACAGAATGATATTTTAATTATTTTAATTATCTTATTTTAAATACATTGTGATTTGACTGAATAACCAAATATTTTAATTTTATTTTAATTTTAATTTATCCAACTGTAGTTGTCTTTTTATTTTCACAATATTTAGATTATAGAAGAATTCGGAAAACTTGTTAATGCCACGACTTTGAGATGTAACGTTTATGAGTTGGGCTGGTTACTGTGGCCGTTAATGCTGTTCGCTGCCTTGCCGATCACAGGATAATGGGGTTTGTGTCTCGTTCTTACCATGCATTTTTGGTTATGTCTGTGCTCTGTCCGTCGTGTTTCACGTGGGTTGAAATTGAGCAGCCAATTATCGTGTTTAATTAAACCGGTTGAATGAAATAAATATACATACGTGTATAACCCTCTCCTTTTTTCGAGCCAAGAGCTTTCTGTTATCCATTGGTACAGCACTCGGGGAAGTCTGAATTTCGAATCTACTCTGCTGCTCTACTTGTAAAGTAGCTCAAGGCAGAGCCAGGAGAATACACTGACGCTGAAGCTCGGTTTAAATATTAAGAATCCAGTCCGTACCGAAAAGAAAACACAGCACTTCACCGTTACAAACACCAGCTGATTAATCTTGTTTAAGGAAATAATCCCAGCTTACACTGAGAATCATATTAAACCCACAAATACTAAATGCAGTGTTACTGATCGCTAAAACAGGTGGTACATATAGTTACCAGTCGGTTTAACCGGTCGGGATAACATAAATAGACCACTAAAGTGCTATCCTAGTTCACCTTGCGTGATAATCCTTAATACTATGATCATTTTGATCTGGATTGTCGCGCCGTGTAGTCTTATAGGTGGCTATCAACGTTTCGTCAGGGTTTCTCAGCCCTGAAGATGGAAGCAGTAATCTCTTCCGAAACGATGGTAAATGCCTAGTCACAACTACGCAAACTGTTTTTACCACCATCAGAACCTCAGGTCTCAGAACACGTAACTTGTTACCAAATAATCTGTGTAACCGATTGAACATCGAGGAAAAACCATCTGTTAAATATGCATTTTTAATTATACGTTATTGTGTTGTATTGATGGGATAATTAAGCATATTTGAAGATTAGGGGAACTAATATTATAATTTTGTTTCGTGGATGGATATCACCACACGAGCGCTATCGTGTTACCATGGCAATCATCTCCTCGTTTTCACAGTGAAAAGTGGTTTTCCACGAAACGAGGAGACTAATTGCCATCACACGTCGTTAATAATTAAAAGGGGAAAACGGAAGATAAATGTGTACTGCGACATGATTTTGTTGCCCGCAGTTCTGAAGACTGTGAAGTGGATTTAATTTTAACAAATTAAGAACGTTCATCCAATTCCTTAAAAGTGGAATTATGAAATGAGTGTTTTCTCAACACTGATTAAATATTCCACTCGGTGAGATGTGAAGTTCATTCGGCAGTGAGTCTGAAAATGAGTACGTTTTGGGATCTTGCGCCGTGTAGTCTGGTAGAAGTTTACCAACGTTTCAGAAGTCCTTGCTGCCTCCATCATCAGGGCGATGAGTATTATGGAAATATTTTTTTCGGTTTTTCACAGATTCTATCCGCATCTTGAAAATGGGACAATATAACAACGGAAAACAAAGTTGTCTTTAGTGGAAGGCCGAGTCTTGTAGTTTGTCTACGTGACAGGAGGGAGCTCATGAGACCAGAAATGTCGCCTGCAGTCAGCGACTCACTTGCATTGGTTGCTGCTCGCGATATTGTGTACGTTTTAAACGATTTGGCTGAAAGAGTACGTAAGTCGGAGCTTTCATCTGGTGTTTGACGTGCGTGCTGTGTACACATAGCAATGGTTGCTTGTGTTCCTGGGACTTACTTATTGAAAGAAAATAATCTGCAGGGTAAGTGAAAGATTAAAGCCAAAGTTATGTCTGTTAGATGTGAAGTTGTAACTGGGATGCGAGTGTCTTGATGATCTTTGGGTTTTCCACCGTCAGGGTTGATGATGGAGGCAGTATTTTCATCTGAAATGCTAACGCAGTCCCTGTACTACATAACGCAACAACTTATTTTTTATTTTTTTAGTGTTCTGTCTGACGACAGGTCCGTATGAACAGGATCCTTCCATCCTTTTCTCGGCCTGGGACCTGTTCATATACGTTCTTGGCAGG